TAGCATTCATTTCTTTTATAACTAATTTCAATACACATTTATGTATCTTTTCCGATTTGTACTAATTTATACCACGTATCCTTAGAACTACGTATAAATTTAACTCTATCCGTTTTTCGGGTAAATAGATTTGAAAATCAACTTTACCATTAAAGACGATTCATAAAAGATGCCTATTCGATTTTGATAACTCAAATACCTTTTGTTCACCTTTTTTGTAACGACCCGACTAGTCGTTTTGCTTCCTAGGTCCCCATTCCACTAAATAAGACTCTCCGTACATGCTTTTATGTTTTTACGACTTGCAGGGATGGTTAGTTCGTGATTTGGAAGGGGTCGGGTTGAAATCGGAACGCTTAGTTCCTTAGTTGGCTTTTAAAAGGCTAAGTTTGACTTTGGTCAATATTTTGAGTAAACGACCACGGAACTAGGATTTGACGGTTCCAATAGGTGAGTATGATGATTTTGGACTTGGGCGTGTTCGAATCGGGTTTTGGATGACCCGGGAGCATTTCGGCGCTTAAGGTTGAAAGTTTGCTTATTGAAAGTTTAAAAGTTCTTTAAATTTGATTTGGAGTAGGTTTTGGCGTTATCGAGATCCGTTTGGAATTTCGAGCCGGGGAATAATTATGTATGGTGATTTAAGACTTGCACGCAAAATTTGGTGTCATTCCGAGTAGTTTAAGTATGTTTCGGCGCGTTCAGAGTAAGTTGAAAGAACTTGAAGTTCATAGGTTGATTCAATTTGGTTTGGAGTGTGATTCTTAGTTTTGATGTTGTTTTATGCATTCTGAGGGTGTGAGCGACTCCGTTTTATGATTTCAAACTTGTTGGCACATTTGGACGGGGCATCGGGGGGCCCGGATGCCATTCAGACAATGCGCAGAGGGTGTTTAGCCATGTGTGAACAGCTGAAGCACCCAACTTCTCATGTAACCGCACCAGCGGAGAGTCAGCCATAGGTGCGAGCTCGCAGAAGCGAGCCAACAGCGGCCTAGCATGGGTAGCCAGAAACCGCAGATGCGGACAAGGCGACCGCATAACCGGGACTTGCGCAGGTGCGGCTCATCTGCCGCAAGAGCGGCATCGCAGATGCGGACTTAGGCCAACCAAGAGAGGACCACATCTATGATGAACCTTCCGCAGATGCGGCCTAGGGACCGCAGATGCGGAAGTCCTGGAGGCAGAATGGTCTATTTGATGCGGGACTTAGACGATTTTGACTCATTTTCTTTCACCTATTGGGCGATTTTGGAGCTCTTGGAGAGGGATTTTCACCTAGCACTTTGAGGCAAGTAAATTCTATATAATGTGAGTTAAATACATAGATTATGAGTAGATTTTAACATGTAAAATTATGAATATCATGGTTTTAGATGAATAACCCTAGGTTTTGATAAAAATAGGATTTACCCACGAAAATGGTTATGTGATTGAGTGAAAATTATATATTCGAGTTCTTGAGGTTATGGGTAACAACTTTCTTCGAAAATTTTCGGAATCGGGGCACGTGGGCCCGAGGATGAATTTTGGGAATATTTCAATTGGGGTTGAGTAATCACTTTAATAGTTAGAATATGAACTTTTGAACATAAATTGATTGATTTATACAATATTTGACTAGTTTCGGATTGTTCGGCACCGAGTTGAGGCTTTAGAGTGAATTTGAGGCCGGAAAGGGATCTTTGAGACGAGGTAAGTCTCTTGTCTAACCTTGTAAGAGGGAATTTACCCCATAGGTAATTTAGATTAATGTTTGCCTCTAATTGTGAGGGCTACGTACGTACGAGGTGACGAGAGTCCGTGCGTAGCTACTATTTATGTTATGTACGAGTAGTTTAGGACCCAAATCATGAATTATTTAAAATGTTGCACCCTATTTGTTAATTAAAGTGCCTAAATTATATTAGAACTTGTCAAAGAAATTGTGAAAGACCATTAATGGAATTTGTATTACATTGTGTATTAGCCTTTAATAACGTTTAAGTCAAATGCTTACAAAGTATCCTCTCTTCTTGTGGAGCGGGCCGAACGCCTCAGCAGTAGATAGATGCATCTATGGTTCATACCGCTCGACCCTCGGCAGTGTACACATTATTCTGGATCGGGCCGTACGACCTCGCCATAATCGTGCGTGTTAATACTCAGAGTTTAATTATATATTTGATATCATTTCATGGCTTGAGAAGTTAAAAGTATACTTGATGGAATTACTTTGGGATTTACCGTGTGTGAAAGAATTATTTACTTCCTGCTTGTTATTTAGTGATCATTTGATTACATAACCCATGCTTATTTAGAACTTATGTACTTTTACTGGTAGCCCATAGTAAGTGTCAATGTCGACCCCTCGTCACTACTTTTTCGAGATTAGACTTGATACTTATTGGGTACATATTATTTATGTACTCACGCTACAATTCTGCACTAACCATGCAGGATCTGAGGCAGGTGCATCTGGTGGGCATACCGGCGCATACTCCCGTTACCCAGAGGCCTAGTGGTGAGCTGCATCCTGAGTCGTTCTGCAGCACCTAGAGCCTTTCTTTTGTACTTATTTTTATGTCTGTTATTTCAGACAATAGATAGAGTTTTATATATTCTACTAATGCCCATACACTTGTGACACCAGATCTTCGCACACACTTTAGTAGACTTTATGATTTTGGAGTATTTATATATTTATGCTTGCATTCAGAAGCTTTCATTTTATTCATTTGACTCTCTATTCCTCAAATTTCTAAATAAATGGAATTGAATTACTTGTAAGCCTATTAAAAGAAGTAATCACGTAGTAAATTCATCGTAGGCTTGCCTAGCGGCGATGTTGGGTGCCATCACGGCCTATAAGAGAAATTTGGTTGTGACATTTTTAAGAAGAAAAAATGCAAAATTATGAAAAAAGGTAAATATATATATATATATATATATNTTATTTTCTGACGTTGGTTATTATTATTATTTTTTTCAAATTCCTAACCGTTTATTCTCTTTAATTTGTTTATTTTTCATTTGCTTATTATTTAGTTTCTTTTCGTATTCCAATTAAATCGGATAATTAACGAGAAGGGCAACCCGGTGTACTAAGCTCCCGATATGCGCGGAATCCTGGGAAGAGCCGGACCACAAGGGTCTATTGTACGCAGTCTTATCCTGCATTTCTGCAAGAAGCATAATTAATTAACGAGAAGGTAGTTCAATATTTCTCATGTTTCTTCTTTTATATTTTTTTGATAACTTTAAATAGTTTGGCAGTCTTCTTAACCGGCAATTTCACTTTCAATAACTTTTATTTATTTAATAGAGAAACTATATATGCAATAAAGAGGTCGCAAAAAAAATTAACTTACGGGAATTTCTCCGGATTATCCTGTAAGATGGCCTTCAACATGGTCATTATTGTAGTTCTTTTTTCCTTATTGTACTCTCCTAATTATATATATTTGTAGTATTAAACTATGATTTTTAATAAGTGCTTGAATGAAAAATATATTATGCAACATTTATTAGCGTGAAGAAAAGGAAAGAAATGCAGACCTTCATATCTTTTTATTTTTACAAATAAATTTATTGTGGCCAATTATTGTAATTCAGTAATTATTCGTATGCAATTATAGGACTTAATGATACTTTTTACATTAATGCTATTTTTTGAGCATTTTAGAAGGCTATAATTGTGAAAGATTAATAAGGTTTGTTTCCATTTCAATTTGTTATTCCAAATACACATTCAATAAACTGGTAAACTGTTGTGGGCATGCAATAATATTTGGATGTATATAGTTATTATCACTTGAACTTTTATTCTCACTCTCTAAGATATCACAAGCTATTTTACTGCCTAATGAAAGGTTTTTCAATTTCTTTTATATAGACCATCTGGAAATAAAAGAAGAAGAAAAATCTTAAAGTTTATAGCTCCAACCCCACTAATGATAAATTTGAATATACTATCTTTATTTTAATTTTTAAGAGGCTCTAATCTTTCCAAAGAAGAATTAGTTTAGGTATGTTACAACATTGTAACTCTATATTTTAAAAAAAATTGAGTAGGAAACTCCAATAAAAAAAATAAAATAAAAAAGAACAATCTTTTACGGCCGCGGTTTTTTTCACTAGTTTGTTATAAAATCAAGAGGAAATCATTCTAAAAGTCCTTGTAAAATGGCTCATGACTTGAGAATACACTCTTCTAATTTGTGTAAAATCTACCATGGCAGCATATGACACATTATACACAAAGGATAGATTAGTTCAATAGGGGTGTAGTGGAGAATCTAGTATATTTATTACTCCCTCAGTTTTACATTTTATGTAGCACGAACGTTCTTAATTTTGACCGCAAAATTAGATATAGATTATTTAAATTTTTTATATAAGATTTACATATTTAAAAATTACATAAGAAGTATTATAAGTGGTAATAATTTATAAAATATTTAAGAAAAATATGATCAAAGAGCAACCTCGTAAACTTCCCAAACGGAGGGAGTATGCAATATCAAAATGAAAGCATGTCACATTTGTTCTTTAGCTATGAGTTTCTGCTATGATATGGAACAAAATTCTCAAAATGGCAAGGAGTGAACAGGCTAGCCATGAACTGGCAGGATGAACTAAAGTGGGCAAGTACAGATTATAAAGGAAATACCTCAGGCAGAGTAATATAGAATAGCTCTTGCTAGAACTGTGTAATATATATGGCAGGAGAGGAATCTTATAACTGTCCAAAGCAAGGCAAAAGTATTGGAGTAATAGCGACTAGCAAAGAAGATGGAGATGCAGAACTCAATTTCAGTTGTAGTAGTTATGATGTAACTACTGAATAGTTATACTAATGTCGTAGATGTAGGGAAGTGGGGAAAGAAGGTTGAGGCTGTACTGCTCAATCTTCAGTTTCGTTTCCCTGTCTTCTTTTTTACTGCTCCATAAAGCTCTTCGGTAAATGAAAATATTTAATTACCAAGAGAAAGGGCAATTAATTGTCAAAAGCAATCAAGTTCCATTTGATAAGAATATTTTCTGCAATTGAAATTAAAATAAATATCACAACTTTTACATCAGTTTTCTCAGAATAGCTAAAATGCATGATATCCATCAACAGAAACCGTCATTGTACTGACCATTTTCATACACATGGGAACCAATGCATGAGGAGCAAAACTATAGAATGGTTGGGGGTTGAAGAAGGGCCATGAATTAAGATGCAATATATCACAATCTCGTATGAGGGGTATTGATGGGCTTCAAGAAGTGGCCAAGAATGTAGCCGAAACTGAAAAAAAGTTCATCTTGTTAAAACTTCTTCTGCACCTTCATGCCATAGGAATCCGAAAAAGATAATCAATGATGTAAGCCTGATTCATTTCTGAGAACTCTGAATTGGAAACAGATACTTGATCTGGAAATTGCAGCACAAATTATGACCACATGTAAATTCACCCTTCACCATCTTCTTAGTTTATGATTTAGTAATGCTCGGCATCAACTTCATCTACTCCATCCAAGATGCACCCAAGACCTTAGCCATGAAGGCATATTTGTCTGCAGCTTCATCAATCTGCAATACAGGTATTATATTCAATAGTGTGACTGTCAATTGAAGCAGCCCAGAACGATAACTAGTGAGAAACTTACCACTTTTTGCGTTGGTCGCCCAGCTCCATGACCAGCCTTGCGATCGATCCTACCAATGATGGGATTGGTCTGGGGACTCTTCTCCAGGCTTGTGCATAGGACATATTGCATGGTCTAAGGAAGACATAACAATCAGCAAAATGGTTCAATTTAGAACAAGAAAACAAGATATAAATCACATACAAATTAGCAGTAACAAACCTTCAAAGCACAAGCATATGAAATCACTGCATAACTATGGATCACACAGGTTCATTACTGTATGTTTTCATACACAGAGACAAGTTTAGTTTTGAGAAAGTAAACAGATAAACAAAGTCCTCATTTAGGCTATAAATGGGGACAGATCATAGCAGCACTGAGATTTTAGCTGCAGGAATTGTGATAGAACCCATTCTCTAAGATCTTTGGCAACATGTCTCTAGAGAATTTTGGCAACAGTCCCTCAACAGGAAGTTAATGAAGGGAACTCGCCTATGTGAATAACCTTTTCCAAAAAGAGAATAAATTCGACCAGTAGCCCAAGCCTCAACCTCTGATGCTGTAAGTTCAGGCTAGACTTTAGAAGCCTAAAGAGAATGTGTCCAACGAGAACAACTTTTTTATTACATTATGATCATGTAACAGATATAGTAGTCATATTTTACATAACTTTCAGACGGTACAACATTGAAAATTTTCAAAGTGGAATAGTCCAAACAAAAAGTGGCTGTATATTTGTAGTTTAGTCACCATATATTAACCAAAACATGTTGATACCTGGGTGAAAGCAACAAAAGAGAATCTATGTTGTTTCTCATTCGTTTCCATTTGTTAAGACATACATATCTCAGTCCCAACATTTACAATTTAAAAATGTTATAATCTGAAAAACTATTCCCAAAAGGTAAATTGAAAACTAATATGCTGTATGCATGCCAATCAAAATCAGGGGAAAAATTATATCTGGATCAGATGAAATGAGCAAATGGCAATAAAAAGGCTCAGAGTTGTCCGTGAAGAGGCAGAAGAAGAAGCAGGATTCTATTTAGTTAGTAACCTACCGCCAATAATTTCAACGAGTGCAGTGGCACCACTCGATCATCATGATCTGCTGTCAATAGCATAGTGGACGGATATTGAGATTCTTGCTCGGGAGATTGTTCCCATGGCCTTCTGACATTATGCAGTGGTGAGTACCTGAAAACATTTGAGTGCGAATGACAGGCTAAGTAAATTTAATGTCACTGCTAGAAAAAGGATAAGGAAACAGCCTCTCTACCTTCACAAGGTAGGGATAAGGTCTGCGTACACACTACCCTCCCCAGACCCCACGATGTGGGATAATACTGGGTATGTTGTTGTTGTTAGAAAAAGGATAAGAAAATGCTAGGTCAAATGTCTCAATCCACCTAACATTGAGTGTCGTTAGAGGCAGAAATGGAGACGGCGAAAAAGAGAAGGGGAGGGAGGAAGCAGAAGGAAAAGTATCGAATGTATAGTTGACAACGTAGACTGGCACAGTTGCTCAGATTGTCTTCATCTCATTCTCTAGTAGGCGAAATATTGCCTAAACAGAGCTTCCTCCAAAAAGCAATCTATCACCATGCAGACAGTTTTTCACAAGCTCGGAACCGCTGTCATATTTCTTTTCACTTTTCCTTACATGCATAAATTGAAAAGCATATTAAGAGTATGCCGAGGGATGTTTCAATGAGAGTTCGAAAACTCACTTGATTAGCCACTGAAACTCTTCCTCCTTGTCTGAACAGCCATAATCAGAGGTCCAGGCATGACCTAGTGAGGAAAAGAATATAACTTGCAAAGAGCAAACAAAACCAATATGTAACACCGAAGATAAGAACTCAGTCTATGGTACACTACCTATGGTAAACTTGTGAAATCTAAGCATATCCATAACACCAACATGTGCAAGAGCACAGCCAAAGAGATCAGGTCTCTGCAATTATGAAGCTTCCACGGTCAACCACTGATTCATCAACACTAGAATGCAGCAAAGTAAGATAGCCATATTGAAGAAACAGTTCAAAATACCTGATTGATGCAGGCTCCAACAAGAAGCCCACCATTGCTTCCACCTTCGATACACAACTTTTCTGGCTGAGTGTAACCAGCTGCCACAAGATACTCACCAGCAGAAATGAAGTCGTCAAAGCAATTTTGCTTTTTGGAAAGAGAGCCAGCTTTATGCCAATCTTCTCCATATTCCCCGCCACCACGAATATTTGCAATGCAGAACACAACACCTAAATGCTTCGCAATTACAACACGGCCGACAGAGAAGTACGGAGTAATGCTAATATTGAATCCTCCATATCCATATAATAAACAAGGGTGTGATCCATCCAAGGAAATATCCTTTCCAGCCACTATGAACATAGGGATCTTGACACCATCTTTACTGGGCACAAAAACCTGCAAAAGTAGACATCAGCCACAAAAGAAAAAACAGACATCAGAAAGTAGTTGAAGAAAAAGACAAGACATTGTTTTTCCAGATGAAAAAAGTTAAAAATTCCTGTTTACTTTGTCCGCTTATATGGATTTTACTCTGATGTTCATTAAGTGGGAAGCAAAAAGAAAATAGAAGCAATCTGTAAAAAGCTTTGCTTTCACTAATTTGCAATTGCTCAGTGCACTGCCAGAGTATGTAGTTGAAAACCAAAAGTAGTGGAATTCATCAGTCAACTGCTATGCCCAGCAGAACTCCTCGTCTTAAATGGCTAGACATATTCAACCAGATTCTATGACAAGTATTGCCCCTTCACAGATTTGTAAAAAGTTCAGGTATTTGTGGCAAAGAGATGCAGGAAAGTATGTTGCAGAATAAATTAATTTTAAAAGAAAAGGAAAAGATCATATGTCAGAACTAATAATCCTGCAATTTTCCTATTCTACAGGAGCCGAATGACTATGCATGGAAATGTAAATCTCCTAGTCTAGTTTAGATATTTCAGGTTAAACTAATTTGGCAAAATGGTTGACTCAATGATTCAATGGAATAAAACATGGAAAGATTTTTCATTTATAAAGCCTAATCAGAGGCGTCCACTACACCAGGACAATACAGTAATGGGGGAAAAGGTTAAAAAAATACAAGTTCAAGCATTATAAAATATAGTTCCTTCTGGGACATCTGATGGCAAAAAACATTATAAAATTAAACTACGTAAGTATAATTACTTATCAGAAAAAGAAAAAAAAATTAAACAAGCATAATTGTGACAAAAGGCTCCATTCACCTGATTAACTTGAAAATCAGTATGATCAAAGCCGGGGACAACAGTTTCTCGAAATACTTTCAGATTTGGAACCTCTGCTTTGAGATCACACTCGTATATAATTCCAGGGATTAGGAAGTTTGTAAATCCAATAAAAATAGTGCTGTCTTTGCGGCGAGCAGAAATTCCAGACACTGTGCCAATATCAATGGGTAAATGATGAAGCAGTGCTCCTGCTTTCAAATCTCTCAACTGCAAAACATTTTTCACATCACTCAGATAACTCACAACAAGTTGATTTTCATTGACAGCAACAGCTGATTCAAGCACATCCTTTTCATCCTCTTGGATGATATCGGACCAAGAATCAGGTTCCTTCAGATCTACTCTGACTAATTTATACTTGGGAGCAACCTTATTCGTCCGGAAAGTGAAACGAGTGCCATCATTTGCAACATTGTCATAAGAGGCGTCAAAGTTATCAACAAGCTTGATAAAGGGTAGCAGCTCATTTCTCCCTTTATAACCTTCAATCCCATCAGGAAGTGCAGATAAATCGCAGTAATAAACCTTGTTGACTGGATCACAGTTTTCATAAGTATATAGGAGAACATACTGCAAGGGGAGTTAGGAAATATAAACTTAGTCAGCAAACAATATTTTTGTAAATTTAGATCATAAACAAGATTAACTTCCTTTTTTTTTTTTTTATAAGACAAGGTAAAACCAAATTCCCTTCCAGGGTAGAGGTAAGGCTACATACATCTTACACTCCCAAGACCCTACTTGTGGGAATTCACTGGGTTTGTTGTTGTTGTTGTTGTTGTAAGGTAAAACCAAATTAATTTGTAATTTTGGATATATCTTTATCTTTCCCAGACCCACATCTATTTTACCAGGGTTTTTGGAAGAAAACAAAATTTTGATATTACTTTATAATTCAGGGATTCCATAATCCTCAGACCACACTAATTATGCAACAGATTAGGGAGATTCTATAGTAAACCTTTCCATCTTCTGTCACCGAAGCTGATCGTGTACACTTAGGATTTTCAGCATCTTTCCAGCACAAGATATCATCAGACTGATCAGTACCCAAGCGATGATAATACACTTCATGGTTTAAATTGGTATGTGTCTCTGTCCCAGCATCCAAACTTTCTCCATCTCTAAGAAGCAAGACACACTCCAAAATTTAGAGTCACACAAGATAATGGAAGTATACATTTACTATGACATATTTAACCTTTACTATGAAACATATTTAAGGTTCTGTTCGGATATTTGTACCTTTACAATGACGGCATACCAGTAGATAGTAGCACAATATGTATTACACCAAACCTTTTTTACTTATTGCAAAATTAGCCAACAGATTACTTTACATCAGATCGGATGATATAGGTTTTTCTTTTTTTTCCAGAAATAGATCAGATGATATAGGTGACGTACAAAAACTTCACGATTCTCAAATCACACTAGTATATGAAACAGATTTGTAACGAGAATATAACTTTCAGTACTCACTTTGGCGCTGGATAACGGCTATAGAAAAACCCTTTGCTATCATGGGTCCAGCTAGCATCAGAGAACTTAACCTGTGAGGAAAACAGTTACATCCGCAATGACTAATAAAGAACTCCATGCAAAGAAATATGTCCACCATAATCGAAATTAATCATCTTTCCAAAAACTTACCCACGAAACTACATCAGGCTTGACGCTCTTATCATCAACCTGCATAACTTTGATAGTATTCCAATCACTACCGCTCGAACTAATACCATATGCCAAATACTTAGCATCCTCACTAATGGAACAAATACTCAATGCAACTGTCCCATCCTCACTAAGTGTGTTTGGATCAAGCAAAACCTCTGGTTCTCCGTCCAAACTATCCTAGAATCACCAAGCAGTAAGACACAGTCAATCAGTCAATCAATATACGCCCAATTCCATATCAGTTGGGGTTGGCTAAATGAATCATCTATAATGTATTCCCTATATTCAATGGAAACGACCAAAAGGGGCTTTCCAAAATTAAAAGAGGGAATAAAATTTTGAATCATTGCATACCTGCACGTAAAGGACTTTTTGGGGTTGAAGTCCTGTATTGTGGAAGTAAAAGTACTTATCGCCCGCCCTAAAAGGGACTTCATATTTTGGAAAATCGTACAATTTCGTGATTTTTTGCCGTAGCTTTTCTCTTGTCTCACAAGTCTTGAGAACTGAGTCCGTTAGATTCACTTGCTTTTCCACAAACTCCTTGGTCTCTTCTGAATCAGGATCCTCAAGCCTAATCAAAAGGTTCAAAAATTACTGTTTCAGCTTTGAAAATTGTATCTTTTCGCACGAAATTGTCGTAAAATAGAGAGCTAAAGTAGTTAGAGCATGTTCATTGAGCTAATTCTAATTAATTTTTCCAAAACTATACCATCGATAAGGATCAGGAACGTTAACTCCATGATAGTTATCTACAACAGTTTCATCACGGCGTGCAATTGGGTACGGCAGAGGTTCGTTGAGGGCTGAAAGGGATCCCATTACAGAGGAGGATGAGGCAAGGGAACGGGCGAGTAGATGTGAAGTAAAGGGATTGCTCTTGAGGTGTTCGACGAAAAGACTACGTTGTTTAATGGGGCGATTATTTTGTTGTTGTTGTTGTCTATTATAAGACGGAATGACGAGGAGAGCAATGCGGGTAAGAGATTTGGGGGAAGTAGGAGAGAAGAGAATGTCGCGATGGCGAGGTAATGAGAACATAGTGTGGGCGTGACCAACGAGGAGCTTAGTCTTGGTTGGTTGGGCTGACAACCCAAATTATGAGTGGATAGGGCCAAGTATCTTCCCAAATTTGAAGGATGAGATTTTTTTGTTCATATATATTATTTGAAACCTTATTATCAAAATATCTCAGTTTTGAAATTTACCCGTCCTAAACACATTTTAGCTACAAAAAATATATATTTATTTAAACTAGACTACTTTATGCGGTAGACTTCCTTATTTGAACGCGCAATTTTGGGATAACTTATATTTCAGTTAGAAATTTTAGACACAATTATCGCACCATAATCAAGGCAAACATATCGGTAGAATCCTTCATTTATGCAGATTTTCTCTGGTTATCATCACACCATAATCAAGGCAACATATTTGTAGAATCCTTTTATTACACAGATTTCCTCTGGTTTTCCATAAACAAGTCAACAAACTCAAAAAAAATCTTCTGAAAAAATAATTGCAAACAATTAGCTACAATTGAATTGAATTTCGCGACATAATGTCAACATTGGCGATTATGCTTCAGCTCAATGGTCAGTGGGATAGCGTTGGGAGATACAAAGATTTTGATGTTGACGAAATTGTAGTCAATGAAGATTCAAATTATAGTCAATTGAATTACGCAATTGTAGAGCATCTAATGATCGATACCTCTGCAAAAATCATCGAAATCAAATACACTATCAACGAGCGGTGTCCACCAATGGAAATTTGGAACGATATGGGAGTTTGAGTGTATATGAAGACTAAAAAGGGGAAAAAACTTAGGAATGTATCCACTGTGTATAACAGTACGTGATTTCGATTTGGAATGCATATATCGAATGGGAGCACAATTGCATGTTTGCTATGTTTTTTCAGTGTTGATGTTTTCAATTTCAAGTGTTCTACAATTTTACTACAAATTATCTACAACTATACTACATAACAAATGTAGTTCAACTATTATGTCTATAAATACAATTGAAGTGTAACTGTTACATAGTACTTAAGATTTGAAAAAATAAAAATGTGATCACAAAACAAAGTATATACAAGTATTATGTCAAATACTGAACACCTGAATATACTGAGGTCTGAATTACTATACTTTTAATTGAATGCATGTAACTCTGGTTATCGTAATACTAATGTGGTACAATTGTCAAGCAATTGTAACATAATTGGAGAAGTACCAGGAATAGTGAAGTTGATTGATATGCCAACATCTCCGACAATTGTGGAATATAAAAGTATCATCATAACAGAACATACACCAAATGTAATTGAAGTAGGCCAAGTTTACCAAGACAAGCAAACAATTATCAGTGCAATGAAGCATTATTCTGTCATGAATAAGTTTCAATTTAGGGTGAAAAGGTCTAGTGCAAAAAGGTAGGAACATTTTATTTGTCAAATTCATATTGTGTATAAGTTATAGTTTTTATGTATATAAATTGTTTAAAACAATTTGTTGTGCATAAACAGCCTCATATTCTGTAGCTACAATTTGCATAACATTTTTTAATTATTTTTATTCTATAGTTATTGCCTCGTATGTATTAGGGACAATTGTACGTGGCACTTCAAGTCCACCAGCATAAATGAATCAGCATTGTTCAAGGTTCGAAAATTCAACAGCTTGCACACATGCTCTTTGATAGACAACACATATATATAACGCAAAGCTACTGCCATGGTAGTTGGCAGCATTATGATGCCAAAATATGTGGATCTTAAGATAGTATACACACCAAAAGACATACAAACTGACATGTTGTTGGAACATGGTGTGAACTTAACATACATGCAAGCTTGGAGAGCAAAGGAAAAGGCTTTGAAATTTTTGAGAGGTCATCCTGCTGATTCCTGCAGTCGCTTGCCGAGTTATTTGTATATTCTGGAGAAGACTTATCCGGGGTTGATAGTAAAATTGCAGAAGACTGAAGATGATTGTTTCTTGTATGCATTTGTTGCTCTTAGTATGTCCATCAAGGGTTGGGAGCATTGTAGGCTAGTTATAGTAGTCGATGGCATCTTCTTAAAGTCGACATATAGGGGAATCATGCTAACAACTAGCATAATAGATGCAGCACGTAATGTAGATTAATTGTAAATATATTGTAATAAAGTTATTTCTGAGACTGTATTTTTTATATTTTCAAGTTTTATTACTAAAATTGAATTTCTTTTTGCTACCTATGTGATAGGTAGCATATTATCACTAGCATACGTCATTGTTGATTTAGAAAATGACGCATCATGGATGTGATTTTTTGAGCAATTCAAACACGCATATGGTGAAAAACCAAATATGTGTGTTGTTTCGGACCGGAATGAAAGTATATTGAAGGCAACATCTACTGTTTATACCGACATGCCATATTATGCTTGCATGTGACATATTTGGATAAATGTAAGGTCAAAGTTCAAGAAAGGTCATCTAAAGTTAAGTGAATTGTACTTTGCCACATCACGATCATACACGCTTGATGAATTTAATGAAAGAATGTCAAAGATTGAAGAGATCGACACACGTGTTAAAGCATACCTATACGATATTGGCTATCATAGATGGTATCGGGTACATGCTACGATGAACAGAACATGGGCGATGACATCAAACATAACAGAGTCCTTGAATCTGATAACCAAAGATGCAAGAGAGCTGCACGTAGTTGAACTATTAGAGTACACGAGGACTCTTCTTGAACGTTGGACTAATGAAAAATTATTGAATGCAAATGGTACGTTCACATACCTTGGGGAAAAATACAACAAAGAGTTGGAGAAATAACAAGACATTATCGCAGAAGATGAGAGTAAGTTATGGCCAATAACATCAGATTATTTATTTCATCAAACTAAATATATAATGATAATTGTAGATATGTTGTTTTATAATTGTAGTTATTTTGTCTTTTATCTGTAGTTGTCAACTTGTTGTGTGTTTGTAATAAAATTGTAGATGAGGGCAATCACGACCCAAAATTCGCGAAAGGTCATGATGGCGCTTAACACCGCCGTCAGGCAAGCCAACGCACGTATGAAATCAAAAAAAATCCTTAATTAAATCGTATGAAATAGATTTTCAAAGTAAGTGATAATATTTACACAACTACATCAACGAACAACTCGTAAGAACCCCAAAAATCTGGTGTCACAAGTACATGAGCATTTCCTAAGGAATATAATAATAATACAACATATGTCCTGAGTGTAGTAAGACAGAATAAAATAAATAGTACAATGGAGACTCGGTGGACTGTGATGCATATCCTGGAATGCAGCTCACATAAAGTATCCTCAACAGGTGCGCCTACACGCCAAGGTGATCATCAATGAACTTGTTAGATCCTGCACATTTAGTGCAGAAGTGCAGCACGAGTACGTAAATCAACGCGTACCAAATAAGTATCTAGCCTAACCTCGGAGAAGTAGTGATAAGAGGTCGACATCGACACTTACTAAAGGTCCACTAAAACAATATAGTAAAACATGAGCAGATATGAAGCATACGACAATGATGGGGTAAATCATTAAGTTACATAACCTTCGAATTACTCTTTTAAAGCATGAATTTCTAAACCTTGTATTCTACCTTAACAACTCCGAAAAATATCAAGTGTCATTATCCAATAAATATAAAAATACCTTAAAATGCCGGGCATCCGTGGAAAGATTAGCTCGTAAATATTCGGTCTATTAGCGATATAACGCACGATTCTGCCGAGGTCGTTCGGTCCGATCCAGAATAATGTGTACACTGTCGAAGGTCGAGCGGCACAAACCATAGATGCATCTATTATACTGCCGAGACGTTCGGCCCGCTCCACAAGAAAAGGAAGGGAGTTACCGAATTACGAGACACGTGCTTACAATATAGTACATAAGCACAAAAATGAATATAATCTTTACTGTTTTCTCAAATAACTCGCCCTCAACTCAAAGTGTTAAGGCTCGGCCTAGTATACATATATTTATTTCTAAATCAATTTCAATTATAACTTCAATTAATGAAGCTAGTAAAATGAGTCCAAATTATTCAAATATTACATGATAAGGTCCTAAGTTTACCCGGACATAAACATGCTTTAGCTATGTACGGACTCTCGTCACCTCGTGCGTACGTAGCACCCACAACTAGTTGCACATAACAATAAATATCACCTAGGGGTAGTTTCCCCCTCATAAGGTTAGACATGAGACTTACCTCGCTCTAAAGTTACATAACCGACTCCAAAGCCTCTCTAACACCACAAACCAAAGCCCGTCGATCCAAAAATAGTCAAATAATGTGCAAACCAATCAAAATATATTCTATTACCCATAATTAATCAATTTAAATAATTTCCAACTTTGCTCGAAAAGTCGATAAATCTAGCCCTCTGGCCCACGTGCCCGGATTCCGAAAATATTCGAAGATAAACCTTACTCATGACACCATGAACTCAAATATATGATTTATTCCTAATTCCTTGTCCAAAATCGAGGTCAAAATCCAAAAATACCAAATTCTAGGTTTTCTACCAAAACCCCCACAATTTTTACAATTTCTCATGCTTAAAGCCACATATAAATCATGTATTTAACTCACAATATGTGAAAATTCCTTACCTTGGCATAGATGATAAAAATCTCTTCTTAAAGCTCCCAACAATCTCCCAAACCATGTGAGAAAAAGAGGGAAATGAGCAAAACCCTAATTTTAAAACAATCTGCCCAGCCGACCTTCCGTACCTGCGGAACACCAGCCGCACCTGTGGCTCCGCACATGCAGAATATTCATCATAGGTGTGGTTCCTTCCAAGCCAGGCGAAATCCGCTTATACGGATTATTTTTCGCTTCTCCGGTCCACCACGCGCTCTTGCTCCCCCGCACGTGCGGAGATCTTCCGCTTCTGCGACCCCAACTGCCCATCTCGTTTTCCGCTTCTGTGGAGCACCCTTCGCATCTGCGGGCTAGCAGATGCAGAAATACACTCGCATCTGCGGACATCCCAGCTTAGTCCAAATGTCGCTTCTACGACCACAATGACGCTTCTGCGGCGCACCT